AAAGTTAGTTTCACATTTCATATTTGACTAGGCTGCTTTAGGAACCGTCTGCAAATTTACCTCACAGTACAAAACGAAGTACAATAATTCATTCAAATTAATGTTCACAGGACTATAGTAAATGCCTAGTGACAAACTGACTAAATATATTTTGCCAATGTCTCGCCTTAGACAATACTTCCAACATCTCCCTTACAGTCTGTACAGTACACAAATATTTTCATGAAACAATTAGGCTACTGTATTTTTTTCTTCATGTTCCAAAGGTTGTAGGTTGTTGAAGACTGACTTATTACAGGTGAAATTTTGCCAATACCTGCTTTACTGGACGTACAGTGCACAAATATGTTTAGAAAAAACTACTGTAATTCACCAAAAATACTTTATCATGTTCCAAAGGTTGTAGTATGTTCCTAGATACAAGACTGACTTACTATGTGTGAGATTTTGCCAATACCTCCCGTCATATATGTACAGTACACAATTCTTTTCACAAAAATTACTGTAGTACAACCTTTGGAACATGAAACAAAACAAAAAAACCTATTGGTAAATTACTAGTGGGCAAAACTCACTAAATATAAGACAACCTTTGGAACATGATAAAACCCTCTAGGTTTTTTAAAAACTATTTGTGTACTGTACATACAGTAAAAGAGATATTGGAAAATCTCACCTGTAGTAAGTCAGTCTTGTAACAAGGACTGTATTACAAGCATTAGAACATGAACAAACCCTTTTGGTAAATTACAGTAGGTTTTTTTTCTAAGAATATTTGTGTACTGTATGTAAAGTAAGGGAGGTATTTGCAAAATCTCACCTGTAGTAAGTCAGTCTTGTAACTAACAGTGTACTACAACCTTTGGAACATAAACAAACCCTTTTGATAAATTACAGTAATTTTTTTAATATATATATTTGTGTACTGCACATACAGTAAAGGAGATATTGGCAAAATATCACCTGTAGTAAGCCAGTCTCATAACTAGGAATGTACTACAACCTTTGGAACATAAAAAAAACCTGTTGATAAATTATTATATATATATTTTTAAATATTTGTGTACTGTACATACAGTAAAGGAGGTATGAGCAAAATTTCACAAATCATAAGTCAGTCTTGTAACTGCAAAGGTACTACAACCTACAAAAAAAACTTTGCGTACAGTAATTTTTATGAAAATAATTGTGTACTGTACATAGGCTTATATGACGAGAGATACTGCCAAAATATCACATGTCAGTATCTAGGAACATAATACAACCTTTGGAACATGAAAAAGCCTTTTTTGGTGAATTACAGTAGTTTTTTTCTTCTTTTCTTGTTTTTTTTTAATGAATTATTATACTTCGTTTTGTACTGTGAGGTAAATTTGCAGACGATCCCTAACGCAAGCCTAGTCGAATATGAAATGTGAAACTAACTTTACCGCGGCTGGTTTTTGGTTATGATGACAGAACAAGATGACATTAAGCACAGCAGAATAAATGACAGAAAAAAAGCAGGCAGGACGACATCAACAGACAACATACACACCTACATATACTGATTTACTTGAACAAGTAGGCAATGACTGTAGACAAAGACAAATGTATAGTACAAAACACAAAGCAGTCGTTGACACAAAGCAGCATTTTTGACACAAATGGAACTTCATATTTTAAAGGCGTTTGTAAATGTGATACTGATTTAATACAACAGTTAAATAGACAAGAAGTTCATATTAAGTGACTTACATTGTCTGACTATAACACTATTGTCTGATTTTGCTTTATTTCGTTGTCGAAAATAGTTTGAAATAAAGTCACAGCTGAGCTGCTGCACATCTCCATTCAAACACAGCTGTGTTTCATTTATGAATGAACTGTGTTCATAGTGAGTCCGTGATTCATGATTACCCATTCATAAATACTGTGATATAATACTTCATTCCTGAATGAATCAGCTGTTCGAATGAATCAATTGAATGAATGATTCAATTATAAAATCAGTGACTTGTCGCCACCTGCTGGCAGTTTGTTTAATTTTTAAAGTATCTTTTCAGTTCTTTAAATCATTTAATATTTCTATTTTCAACATTTTTTAAGACATTAATCTTAACATGAATTTATGGATTTAATTGCACTTATGCCACCTCTGATCCTCATTAAATGTCTGAAAATACACCTACAAGCCACTTTTGTGTTCTTCTGTGCCACCTCTGTACAAATTAATTTTAATACTGATTTCATTTGATTAGTAACTTATTCCTCTTATTTTACTTGTTCTTATTATATGGTTTTATCTAGAATTTTTAAAAAGCTTATAATTTTTTTTATTTGACAAAAGATTACATACTTTTAATAAAGTTAGAAAAATGCCATTACAGAGGTAAAAACTCAATTCCACTGTAAATCACTTTAAGGAGTCAAATATCAGCTCGTAATGGGAAGGCTTTCCTCTTATTTTACTTGTTCTTATTATATGGTTTTATCTAGAATTTTTAAAAAGCTTATAATTTTTTTTATTTGACAAAAGATTACATACTTTTAATAAAGTTAGAAAAATGCCATTACAGAGGTAAAAACTCAATTCCACTGTAAATCACTTTGAGTCAAATATCAGCTCGTAATGGGAAGGCAAATTTTTGATCAAATTTTGGATAATTGATTAGAAGGTGCTCCTAAATTTTTTAAGTTAGGAGCACAAGCGCTCCTAAAAAGAAAAATAAGCGTAGAGCCCTGCATTATGTGTTAAAAACACTCAAATTCATCCATTCGCCTGAGGATCATCAGCACAACACATGAGAATGCGCCCAAAAATCATCAAACATAAAGATGCACGAGGTGGATATTCAGACTACATTTATGCTGTTTTTACCGTCAGTTCACTGTAGGAAACAAGCCCAGCGTGATTGTGAAGGACTCTGCAGCGGAGAAACACAAGGAACGAGCTCTATAACAACATGAGGGTGAAAGGCTTGTGAAGTTCATGATTACAGCTCAGCGCGGGATTACCGGCTGTATGGAGCCTCTGTGCGGCGGGCCAGCTGAACCCTGCCCCGGGAGAGAAAGAATGCCCCACACAAGAGTCCGATTCAGCCCTTACAGCCCCAGCTGAACCAGCTCATCTGTGCGGCGGAGTTAACGGAGGAACACAGGTGCGGCGCGTGCTTGCGCTCTTCTCTGTGGCGTTCAGAAGTCAGTATGAATGATGTTTTGTGTTTGCAGTGAAAAGTACACAAAGACCCGCATGCAGAGGCAGACTTACCCATTAGGCAAAGGTAGGCGACCGAAAGCCAAGGGCCCCTAAAAAGCTTTTCATCTACGAGAAGCGCATTAAGCTCGGACCGGCGACCGCTTGCTGTTTACGGTGTGTATCACCACGATAACCGTCTGTGTCCGAGTTGAACACACTCCTCGTGTACCCTGCTTGTAGCAACTGAAAATATCATGCATCTGAAGCTGTAATTAAACATTGAGCAACAGTGCGTATTATATGTGTATTGTTTTAAATGCTGCTTACTTATTCATAAGAACCCAAGTAGAGGACGCATACGCAGTTTGGTTGATATAATCCTTAGGTGTGTAAATGTATAATTTCCTTTTCATTTTCATTTAAATTCTTAGTTAAAATAAATAAAATAAGTGTATTTTAAAGTTTAGAATTAGAAACTTTGGCACACAGGCTTACGCTGGTAACTCCTCAATATAAGCTATATTTTTTCACACTTTTCTCATTCTCACTAATTCAAGTTTTTATATGAACGAAGGGCACCGACTGTCTTCAGAAAGCTTTCCATGGCATTTCCATCTTATCTGATCAAGTAGTGCAGCCGTTACCGGGGAGACCGCTGTATTTCTGACGTTCCAAAAGCGCCTCCTGCTGGCAGAGATTCAGTGTGCATTTCCAGTAACCCCGTCTGTAGTTTGTGTTCAGACCAATGCGAAAATCCACCCATATATCCACGTTTTAATATAATATCATAATTTATACTTCCGACTCATCTCTTTGGACACAACTGTGGGGCACCATTATGCAGCAGCAAGCATCACAACTAAAAAGGAACATCAAGGCTAAATTTGTAAATGTGTGCAAATACATAGGGCCCCATTCATATATGAGTGTGTATCGCAGCTTTAACACTGACTGACAGAATAAGCTCAAACTCAAGACAGCCGAGTGACACAACTACAGACACAGAAGGACATGAGTTCACTCGCGGCGTTTATTACAGCGAGAGATGATGATGATGATGATGATGAAGACAAGCATCCATCATTCCAGCAGTCTGACTCTGTCTCTGAGGCTTGTTTCTGTCGAACAGAGACAGAAGCTCCTGTCTCCAGTGAACGAGTGACACGCTGCTAAAACCTGCAGAAACACAGAGTCAGCAAACGTCTGGAAGAACACCAAGCTCGTGTGACGCGTGCAAAACGGCTCACCGGACTTCAGTGGCTGTTTCTGAAGGACTTCGGTTCAGCTCACCTTCCTGCGGAGCTTCTTGACAGCGAGTCCGTCCTCCGGAGCTTTCCAGTTAAACGTCCCTGAGAAAGCAGCAGAGTTCAGAAGATCTGGATCAAACAGAGACTGAACTACTGAATCCATGAATACGACACACTCAGAATAATGTCATCTGCACTCTAATCCATATTTCATGCCCATGTTTTTATGAATTTAAGTGTAATACAGCAGTGGTGCAGTCAGTGTAATTCTAATCAAACAGTATTATTATTATTATTATTATTATTATATGGTGAAATAGCAGCAGAGTTTGATTCAGACTTCTGGCTTTACCTCGAGGCCTACAGTCACTCCGTCTTAATTAGGTGAAACCTCTGGAACGTGCTACTGTACTTTTATAAGTGTTTATCATCAAAGTTGTATTTTAGCATTTTTAATTCAAACTAAGCTCGACAGTAAGGCCAGCGTGAAAGATGCTTTGTAATAATCTGAAGCCCTGCTGAGCACTTATAATCTTCAGCTGGACTCTCTCGGTGGAGGTTTCTAAGCCTCGTGTTCATTTTGGATCGCTGATGTCACCTGTGCTCCTGTACCTGAATAAAGCGGATCTGTGACTCTCTGCTTCTTTGTTTCTTTTTCATTTACAGAGGGATTCAGCGAAACTTTTTTAATTCAGAGCAAAATGCATTAAAATGTGGTTTAGAAGCTGTAACTTTACACTTATGAACATGACCTTTTCCAAGCAAGCACAGGATTTTAACAGCATTATTTAAAAGAGCAGATCCAGTGTTACTTAACAAAAACAGGACCATTTCTTCTG